ATAGTGCGATTTTGTCTCTTACGGTGTGCCCTAATTATGTCATTTTCGCTTACCTGCATCTTTGTAGCTACCTGTTTAGCTATGTTCACCGGATCTTCACTAGCCAATTCTGCTATTTGACATATTAGTTGTTTTTGTTCTATTAGATTAATTTTACTCTCTAGTATATTACATTTAAGATTCATATTTTTTAAGTTGCTTTTTAAATCAATATACTGTTTCTCTAGAGTTTTTACGTTAGTCTCGTAGTTGTAAATTTTTACACTGAATTCATCAGTTTTGTCAGAATAATGTTTGTTGCAATTCTTCTCGAATAATATTTCTGATTTCAGTCCGTAATTGTTGCAGAACTGGCTGCAGCATTTTATCACCAATTGATCCTCTCGAAACAGCATTAATGGATCCCTCTGTTTCAGATGTTTCACCGTCATCTTCCTCAGGGTCGGGTATAATATAGGAGAGGTGCTTCGGTTTCTGCGACCCTACACATGCCTTACATTTCCAGTCCACAGCTTCCGTACCTGAAAGAGCCGTCAGCTGATCAATATAAATGTTAGCACATGACGCACGAAGCCACTTGCCACACTTTACACACAGAAGTCCAGGATTTTTCTTATTTATGTGTTTGGGACACTTGATACATTTAAACATATTTTTAAGTCGTGGGTATATCGATATTTTTTTTGTTAAAAAGTAGCGCGTCCTATTGCTACAACGTTCGTGAGATGACTCGAGAGATGGTTCGGTCCCAGTAGAGCCTGGCGCGGTCATTTTCGAGCACAGCTTCCGGTTAATACTTATAATAAGGCAGTTTCCGATCCACGAGACCGTATTTCAGAGCGAGCTCCTGGTGTAGAATCCTGGCTACTAGGTTGTGCCTGTGCAAGTACTCAGAGTTAGAAAGCACCGAACAACCGGAGATGACATGCCTAAGTGACTCACCGGGATGACGACAAGCTCGACAGATGTCGACGATGCCATCCTTTAGGATTTATCTCCGATAGTTGTTGGTCTTAATAACCTGATCCTGTATTGCACAGACAAAGCCCTCCGTTTCCCCGAAGAGGTCACCGAAACGTAGCCAGTGGAGGGAGTCGACTGAATCTACGGAGGGCTCATGTAGAGCCCTGTAGTACCTCCCATGGAGTTCCTTCTCCTTCCATACGGTCTCCCTTTCGGAAATGCTCTGTACTGCCGGGTCCTGCCATTGCTCGTTAGCTAAGGATAGAGGGGTAAGCTGTTTATCACTAGAAATGACGTCATTATAGAATGGATCATCCGATCTCGCCAGGAAGTAATGACGGAGGCTGTACACTTCGCGATTATGCATGGTGATCGCGCTCAAAAAGCCACGCCCACCATGCTTTCGCGGCAAGTACAGCCTCATTACCGACGATCTCGAATGATGCATCCTATGGGACGTCATGGTAGTGTGAACTTTTCTATCCAGGGCGTTAAGTTCAGACTGAGTCCACCTGAGTATGCCAAAGGCATACATGAAGACAGGCATGATCCAATCGTTATATGCGTGTGTCTTATTGATCTTATATATCTTGATTACTGTCTGGTAACAGAGGCAGCTTGGCGATGTGTATTAAATTGTAAGGTATGATTTGATGTTAATGGATCAGATCATTTTCCACTGGAAGTAGATTTTAAGATAGGTAATCTGCCATTTAAAACGCAATATAGAGAAAAATGTTGTAACAAGGTGAAGTGGGGTGAGAGAGGCGTTGATCAGATTACTATATAGTATATATAGTAGAATATGTCATAATAATTTAATAAATATTGATTTTCCGGTAGAATTTAATTTTTGTGCGGATAAAGGGTGTAAAAATGTAGATCATAGAACTGTTATTGATAGGTTGTATAATAATATTGTTTACATCTTAAGAGAAGCTGCTGAAACTAGCTATGAGAAAGCGTAGTAAACACAAACTGGTTGTTGGGTGGAATAGGTACTTACGGGAGGTCCATCAGGAGGCACGATGCAGTTTCCAAATGTGGTTGCTGTATGGTAAGCCCAGTGCGGGTTATGTATATGATAGAATGCGAGAAGCTAGGAGGTGTTTTAAGTCAAAGCTTAAGTGGTGTCAAGAGAATGAGTATCAAATAAAATTGGATATTTTGGCTACTCACCACAAAGAAAAAGATTTTAAGAGTTTTTGGAAACAAACTAAGAAGCTGGAAACTGCATCATGCTTACCTGCGAGTGTCGAAGGTAAGAGTGAGCCCCATCATATCGCAGAAGTTTTTAGGGAACACTTCAAAATGGAATCTCCATTAGGACCGGTGCAGCGGGTGTTCGATATTGAGGAGAAATCGTGCAGTGAATTTGCCAGATTTACTGCGAAAGAAGTCCCAAATGTCATAAATAATATGACACGTGGTAAATCACCTGGACATGATGACCTCAGTATTGAGCACCTGCAGTATGCGGTAGTTCTTCTGCCTAGGGCCCTAGGGTATTGACTATGCTCTTTAATATATGTATAGGGCATGAATACTTACCTCAGGAACTTATGAAGACCATAGTGGTACCAGTTCTAAAGAATAAGACCGGGGATGCTGCCGACAAGAACAATTATAGACCGATCTCGCTAGCTACTGTGATAGCCAAAGTATTGGATGGTTTGCTTGATCGTCGAATAAGCAAACATATACAGGTACTTGAGGCACTGTTTGGGTTTATACCTGAACTGTCCACTGAAACTGCAACCTTGCGACTCAAGCATACCGTCCAGTATTATGTTACGAGAAAAACGCCTATCTACGCCTGTTTTTTGGACTTGTCGAAGGCATTTGACCTGGTCTCGTACAACCTATTATGGGATAAGTTTCGGAGGGAAACGAGTACGCCTAGAGAGATTAGTAGATATGCTAAGGTATTGGTACCACAAGTAATCAAATAATGTAAGGTGGGCATGTTCATACTCAAGTGAATATAGGTTGGATTGTGAAGTGAGTGAGGCTTAACTTCACTGAGGCTCTTACACCTATATATATTTGGATGATCGATGAGCTTAGCAGAACTGGCGTCGGATGCTCAATACATGGTAACTTCGTAAACAGTATCAGTTACGCGGACGACATGGTGCTGCTGAGCCCTTCGATCAGAGCACTTGAGATATAAATAAATTTATGTGAGAGTGATATGCGGAAGCCCATGGCCTCAGGTATAACTCCAAAAAGAGTGAACTACTTGTTTTCAAGACAGGGAATAAAGAACCCAAGGTTATCTCACTGGTCACGCTTGGAGGAGTACCTTTAAGTAGAGTTACCAAATTTAAACACCTGGGGCACTTGGTTAAAGAGGACCTCCCTAATGACTTGGATATTGAACGTGAACGTAGAGCGTTAGCAGTGAGGATCAACATGCTAGCTCGCAGGTTTGCAAGGTGTACAAAAGCTGTCAAGATAACCCTTTTTAAGGCGTACTGCCAAACATTTTACACCAGCAGCCTGTGGGTTAAGTATACTCGCAGATCTGTAAATGCTCTACGTGTTCAGTACAATAATGGCTGTCTCATTGCAGAGCATCAGGTATATTTGTTGAGGCTAACACGGCCAGCTTTGATACAATAGTGCGGAAGAGAGTGGCCTCCCTGATGCGACGTGTGCGAGACAGTGCCAACTGACTCCTATTTATTGTATTAGGGAGGTTTGATTGTCCGGTTATGCGACACTGGAACGCTGTGCATATGGGGTCCAGAGCTGTTATATTTAAAATAAAATAAGCATTGTTGTTTTTAGTTGTATATTTATTAACATTAATTTTAAGTTTATATTATTTATTACTCACAAATTATGGGGCTTGTATCTGAAATAAAATTATTATTATTATTCACACCGGACAAAAGGCTGTTAAGCACTTTGGTCAAGCGTGCATAAAAATGTTCTGTACTGTACGGTTGGACAATGAAAAAAGCGAATGCTTTTGTAGCCGTATTTTTGCTTAAATATTTTGGGTGTCCATATTTCTGGAACACTATTTTCTACGGCGATCGTTCTCCTGTTCTCAAACCTTTATGGCCAGTATCCTCTTAGTAGTCTGTGCGGCTATCATAGCGTGCCGCAACTATAATTACTATCTGCTATACTCTTAGGCCAATATGCTATACTCTGAGAGTTTTGGCAGGAACTTGGCCGTAGACGAATTGTCGCTCCTGTTTTGTCGCTTTAATAATGGTTTGAATTGGATATTGATTTTCGCCTGCCGCCAAATTCTCCCAAGGGCTTTGCAATGTGACGCATCACCATAATATTGTGAAGATAGAGAAATATAAAAATGAAGATTCCGAACATGAAGGTTAGAGAACAGGAGAACGATCACTTTGTACTAAAGTATAGCCAGCCTGTCCTTGAAAATTGTAGAATACATAGCGGCGCTGACGTTGGTGAGTAGTGACTGCGAAGTTAGCTGTTTATGAGTACAAGTAGGTGAAGTTAGTTGAATATTGTACAAATTTTCATTTCATTTTTTCGTAGAAAATTTTCATGCTCCGTAATTTTGTAATTTGTGACAAAAAGAAACATTAAAAAATGGAGAAATATTTTATTGTGCGTGGGTGTGCAAGTGGTTGAGCATCTGATCGGCAAAATAGGCTGTAAATGACTTTTATTGACTGCACTTAGTGATTGCAGCGCCTCACTGATGGTGTCCATATTTCTGGGACACTATTTTCTACGGCGATCGTTCCCCTGTTCTCTAACCTTCATGATTCCGAAAGAATGATAGGCTCAGAAGGACTAGAACCCAGAGCCATAAAGCCAGTTAATTAAAAAAATGCTATACTCTTTGGTTCTGTTCTTGCTACATATTTATTTATCTATGGTTCTGTTTCTGTAAATCGAAAGTGAGTTCTGCAGTTCTGCTTCGGAAAATTAAAGTATTACAATGATATTTGTATTTTGAATGTGTTTCACTTATTTCTTTATAATTTGTGATGTGATTTATGTTTTCCTGCAGTGTTAAATTGTGCTAATTTGCATTAAAGATGGCTTTATACTGTGCAAGTAAGTGAAGTTTGTTCATAAACAATTGCTAGCATGTAAATCATGCCGGTAAATTCTTAGTAGGTTAATATTTTGGCCTAAAAGTTTAATATTTAAGTCTTGAGTCAAGAAATTTATAGTAAAGTGCATCATAACTTAATTTGAACAGCAAATGTTTTTATCATAGAAAATATAACCTATGCGTTCATTTTCCAGTATCAAATGAAGTACCAGAAGTGCCTGTTGTTTCTCCATCATCAGGTGCTATTTTTGAGAAAAGAATTATAGAAAAATATATTATTGAAAATGGTGTAGATCCGATTAGTGGGAAAGAATTGCGTGTGGAAGATTTAATTGAAATTAAAAGTAAGTAATGACACAGATAAATTATGTAGACATTTTAAGACTAAATTTGATTAATTTTTAGTAGATACCATTCTATTTTATAATCAAACAAATAGTGTACAGATCATTTTCCGAATAATTAGCATTGTCATGCATAATTATTTTTCTAGGGAAGATAACTTATTTAATAATTAAAAGAAATGTTTGTAGTGTAGTTATATATTTCAACTGCATAAGTATTTGAACAAAGTAGTTATCATCACTTAGAATTAGTTAAACTTAAGTAAAATTTAATGTGATTAGTCTCCAATATATGTTCATTGCTGATGAGAGTATGGTCTTTCCTTGATTGAGTTGACCCATTTGTGTGACAGTTGATATATAATATAATTTTGTCCCTAGCTCCACCAATTGTAAAACCGAAGCCACCCAGTGCTACATCAATCCCTGCTACATTAAAGAGCATGCAAGATGAGTGGGATGCTCTCATGCTACATACATTCACTCAACGTCAGCAATTGCAGACAGCAAGACAGGTAAGTGCAAAGAAGTAATATCAAAAAAATTAATTCTACATAATGTATGTACATTCTACAGAAATCAATTTTTATTTTATTTGATTCAAGTGACAAGTCAAAAGTCTTAATACCTAATGATGATTATGGCAGACTAATCATGACTGGTCTGTTGTCACCTCTTACGGCCTGGCCACGGAGAATGGCAAAGCGACAGGCGGGGCGAAAATTCGCGCGGCGCGATTTGAGGGCCACGGGAAGTCATGTTTGCCGCCGCGACCAGATAGGCCGAGAGTGAAATGTCTTTATCAAAGTTATCTCGATGTTGCTTAGAAAGTAATTGTTTTTTGAATCAAGACATAATATTTGGAAAAGATTGCGGAGTACATGATTTGAATAGGAATTGGGTTATAAATGGAGAATTCCACAACCAATAGAATGCATCTAGAAAAAAATTTCGAGTAAATACCAGAATGAGTGTCGAAGGATTTTCTTGCCAGAATTGGAGATAAAAGTCAATGCGGATAGAATTTTAAATTGTTTTTATCGGCCCGGCATTTTTCGCGGCGAAAAAAAATTAAATTTTTTGTTTCCTATACTATTCGCCGCGTCTGCCGCCCGACTCCGTAGCTTGCACCTTACTGGTTCATAAATTTGTTTCATTCGCCCGCCGCGCGATTCGCCCGGTAAATTTCGCCGATCACGTCGCCACTCGCCGGTACGCGTGGCTTGCTCCATACATTTCTATACATTTGTTTTAGTTGCTAGACGCCTCGCCGTTCGCGTCGCGCGGATTTTCGCTACGGCGAATGTCCCGTGGCCAGGCTGTTAAGGTGGAAGAGTATTTGAGTTGGCTATAAACTTCGTGTACTTCATTTTAATTGTTTTCTGTTTAGGAAGCTTGACAGGGTTAAGCTTGAACCTTTTACATTGTTTTTCGATGTTGGAAATACAGTTTGAATAAATAAGATAGGAATAAAATTCACTAAAATTTGCATATAACGAAATGAAAAATATGTCAATTCTTTTTTAACATATGTTAAAAACAGAGTAACCCACTGTAGCAAATCGCAGGCACCTGTGTGGGCCATGGCAGCTGAGGGTGGTTGCCGAAGGCAGCCAATAAGCCAAAGCTGCAGAGGCGAGCATTACATTTGAGAGGGACAATTATTTTGACATTTGTTTGTATAATAATAAATAACATTTGTTTCTTAAGGATTGGTATTTTGATCCATGATTAACTTTAAAATTTTAATAAAAAAATTGCATAATATGGTTTAGTCCAAAATTAATTTACCCCCAAATAATTAACTTTAATGATGATGGATAAGTACAGTGCTAAATAAGTAGTAAGTACTCATCTCTTTTATTTCAATAAAAAAGTATTAAAAAATAGTGGTGTGCATTTTGTAAATACTCAGAAAAAGAAGCACAAGCTAGTAATACCAGTTGCTCGACTCCATGGAGTCAGTAACATTTTTACAAGACAGTGGGTCCGATTGCGTTTCTCTTCGAACCTAAATAATGACAAACTAAAATTTTACTAAATATGTCCATGTCCTTAACATAAAGCTTTCTGTTAAAATAAGTTTACGTCACTAAATTTGAACTTAATTCTATGTCTATGGAAATGGACATAATTACGTTCGTTTGCCGCCGCAAATGGCAACACCACACCACTAGTCTGTCAGTGTGTGGTTATTTTTTGTGTGAGTTTTCGCAAGAATTATTGAAATTTAATAAATATGGATACAAAGAAGCCAAGAATGAAGAAAGAACAGCAACAATATTTATTAAACTTCTTGATGAGGAATCCGGAAACGGTTAACGGTATGTTTACAAAATATTTCATGTGAATTTTTGTTTTAGTAGTGTAAATTGATATTCTATGATTTACCCTTACTCATCCATCCATCTATTTACAGAATAGCAAGTTCATTTTAAATTTGATCATAATCATATAATTGCACTCTAACTTATCCTATCTACAAGCATTCCTGTGTAAATTCAGTTTGGTAGTCATATCGCATTGCAACATTTGTTATTACATTTACAATCATTTATTCACGTTAAATTATAACATAACATATAATATAAATAATTGGCATCCAATAAAACATGATGTTTTCATACTTACTTGCCGGCTACCAAAAGATTGTGGACTGAACTGACAGAAGCCCTCAATGGAATGGGAGGTATTCGTAAGACACAGAAAGATTGGTTAGAGGTTAGTTAGTGGTGCTTTATAAATTAAATTGTCCTAATTTTGTACTAAATATATCAGTGAACTTTTAAAATTTAAATCATAACCAACCTACTTTACCCACTTGGATATTAGTTGTTGTTAAATGTATAATCTAAATTTTTCAGACATACAAGTTATTAGCACGCAGGGCGAAGGCTAAGATGCGCACACAGCGTGCATCTATGCAAAGGACTGGAGGTGGTCCTCCAGCAGATATCTGCTGGACAGAAATGGAGAAAAAAACAATAAATATAGAGGGGACATCAACTATATATGGATTACCTGGAGCTGTGGAAGCTGTAAGTTATTGGCATTAGTTTTTTGTAAGCTCTATATTAGATTTACTTATTTTTTCATGATTGCATCAATCATCACAATTGTGTTAATTTTGAAAACAACCCATTGTTGATGTTCCGGATCCTTATGTTATGCAATATGCAATGCTTGTAGCAGTCGTGATATTTATTACCAGTAATGGTCTGATGTTAAGTTGATTTTATTTTGACTACAGGTTTTGGATGATACTCAACTGCCAAAGCCCAAGCAGACGTTGATTTTAGACGCAGTAACAGTTGTGAGTATATTTTACCTATTCACAACAACATTATTATATACATATAAATAAGATTTGTTAGTTTTATAAATAAGTTTAAACAGTGCCCTTATTATGACTTGAGTTCTACTGATTAGATTTTGATGTAGTTTTCATTAAGCGTTATGGTCAATTTTGGTAATTATAGAATAACCGCATTATTAATGGTATGAGTAATAAATACTGAAGTCATGTTAAAAAGAGTTTTATGCATAATGGTATTCTGAAATTGACTTCATAGTGGTACAATTGTATGAATTTATCCTTATAATTGTACTATGCAGGATATACATTCAGACACTGAAGAAGAGCCCGCGAAGGAAGCGGCTATGGTGGACGCGTTGACACCGACGGCGAGTCACGATGGGGCGACTGTCGTCACTTCAATGGCAACGGACGCGTCATCAATACCGACAGCATCTCGCGTTGGTCGAATTGCGGTAGACGCGTTGATGGTACCAGCGGCAAATAGGGATCTGGCAACGATCAGTTGCAGTCGTGAACACATCGTGGCCTCAACTCCTGAACAGACACTGGAGGACGGCGTGGTGCGCAACACTCCGCGCCTCGCGCGCCGCAACGCGCGTCGAGCAACGCCCCGTACGCTCGTGCCGCCAGCCGATTCAGCCACCCCGCAAGAAGATGCCATGATAGCGGCTTTAAGGGAGGGAGTCAGCGCAGATGGCTGAATGCGCAGACAGAGGCCGCTCGGTATCTTGGCGATTGCATAATGCGTGCCGCTACCATGTTCGTCGAAGCGATCAATAAAAATAAATAAACTATTTTTTCGAAATTAAGTTTTATATTTAGTAGTTTTATTATTAATTCTTTAATTTAAATCTTTAATTAAAACACATCATGCAAAGTATTGTCTTGTGATGTTATTTCTAATATTTCTTGCCACATTTAAAAAATTCATGTCCCTGGGAGGATCATCTGCTGGCCGCAATCTGTCTTCGAGTTCCAATTCATCTGGTAAAGGTTCATTTCTCTTAATTGCCACGTTATGGAGAACAACTACAGCTGCTATTATTTTAGATGCCTTCACGGGGTCATAATGCAACGTCCTGTGCTTGTGAATGCATCTAAATCTTGTTGTCATCACTCCAAAACATTTTTCAATAAGAACCCTCGTTTTGGTATGCGCTAAATTATATCTAGCTTCAGGTGTATTTTCATCCGCATCAGCATACGGGGTCATCAGCCAAGGCAGTTGGGCATATCCAGAGTCTCCTAGAAGCCATTCACCAGCTAAAACTCCGTTAACATAATTGGTTTCCAATAATTGGCTCAAACTGGATCCTTGCCAGACCGCTGCATCATGTGTTGATCCAGGAAAAGTGGCATTGAAATGAATTATTTCCATCTTTGCATTACATACAAATTGGCAATTAAGACTATAAAAGCCTTTGCGATTAAAAAATAATCTCGCTGGCACAAGTGCTGTGTCTTTTGGGCGAACAATGGAGATTTGACTACAGTCTATCAAACCCAAGACTGAAGGAAACCCAGCTATCTGTAAAAACCTCTGTTTATTTTCTGCCCTTTCCTCTTCAGTCTCTGGAAATAGCACCATACCGTTCAATAAAACAGTTATAATTGCATCAGCAACTTCTTGTAAGCATTTGCTTACAGATGGCTGACTTAAACCTAAATACTGCCCCTGCCCAACCGTTGTTTGGTAGCCGCCATGTCCAAAGAAATGGAGTGAAGCCAAAACTTTGATATGCACAGGAATTCCGTGCTGCCTTTGTCGATTTAAATTCTGGTGAAGACACTCCACTAAAAAATGCGCAGTTCTTTTGGAGAGCCTGTATAATTTGGTAAAAACCTCTGCAGGCACGTCGAAAGGGTTGGAATGGTCCCGAATATGGCGATGCGCTATCCTTCTCGCAGCCCTACAACGAAAAAAGTTAGGTTATGTTATGCTTATACCTACCGTATGCAAGAAAAGCAGTTTCTGTAATATAAATTTCATACTCATACCGTTGCCGTTCCTCATTGTGTCTTCTTTGAATAATAGCCCAGCCATAAGGAAACATTTTTCACTATTTTCTGAAGAAACTTAGCTTACGTACGGACTAAATAGGTGCGATCTTAAAGATTAACACTTCCTAGACGTATAAGTTCATTTAAAGCCAACGAACTGTCAAATTGTCAGAAACGGAATAGCAAAAGACATGCGTAGACATAATTTAAGTCCGAATTGGACATAAATAGTGTTGTGGACGTAATTAATTAACAAACGCAATAGCAATAATATTAGTACGAATTTTAGACTAATTTAAGTCTATTATTCGGCATTATTTAAGTGCGCCAAAGAAACGCAATCGGACCCAATGTATCTACTATTAAAACAAAGTTCCACAAAATATGCAGTTGTTTACTAAGGGTTATACTTAAAGAATACATGATTGGATAAGATGAGAGAGATGAACCCCTGGGAATGAGATGATTAGCAATCACTATTTTTAAATGTTTTTATAATGAATTGTGCAACAAATTATATTGTAAATAATTTTTTAAATGTCCTTCCTCTTCCCATGATTAATTTTTTTCAGGGCACTAGTAAAATCCAAAATGACTTTATTCTGTTTTATTTAAATATGGATTTACTTTAATTTTATTGTTTTTAATGTTTTTTTTTATAAAAAGCCAGTCCATTTGCTTGTGGATTTTTAGTACTATGGTATTTATCCTGATGATAAAAAATATTATTTTTATATAGGAACTGAGTCACGCTTTATATCAACATGATGCAGCATGTCGTGTAATCGCACGTCTTACGAAGGAAGTGACGGCCGCCCGAGAGGCGCTGGCTACGCTCAAACCGCAAGTAGCAGTTGTTGCGCCACAACCCACGCATGCGGTATGTCTGCTTGTATATATGTATAGACAAAATGTTATTACATTATTATTCTTTTAAATGGTTTTGTCTTTTAAGATGGCAGGATTTTTTTTATTATAAGACAATGTTTGACTACTATACCACTTGATGGTAAATGGTGATGCAGCCGAAGATGGTTAAGAGCACTGACTTAGCTTAACAAAAGCCTATAGCCTTGAGGATACCCAAATTACAATCAAATGGGAAGTCAGCTGGCAAGTTATTCCACTGTTTTGCTTTATGTGTCGCAGTAAGATGGTTAAAGCCTTGATATAGTTATATTGTTACGAGGGTGGATTGAAAAGTACTCGGCCTAACCAAGAAAATAAACACATACTAAATCAGTAATATTTTTTACTTTTCTACATAATCACCATCAAGTTCAATACACTTTTGCCACCTCCCCTTCCAAGCATTTAGACCGTTGAAAAAAAATGATTCTTCCTTAGAGTCAAAATATGCGTCTACAGCTGCTTTGACCTCGTCGTTTGTCGAAAATCTTTGACCTCCCAAGTGCCTTTTTAGGTTAGGGAACAGAAAGAAGTCTGATGGTGCCAGATCAGGTGAATACGGCGGATGCGGTAACAGTTCAAAGCCACAGTTGTGAATTTCAGTCATTGACTGTACTGACGTGTGAACACGGGCGTTATCTTGATGAAACAGGACTTTTCTTCTGAGCATTCCTCGACGTTTTTCTTTTATTTCCTCTCGTAAACGACGTAGTAAGGTGCAGTAGTAATCAAATTTTATAGTCTGACCCCTTTCAAGATAATCAATCATAATCACACCTTTCGAGTCCCAGAATACTGAAGCCATCACCTTATTTGCCGACAAAATCGACTTAGCCTTTTTAGGGGGTGGTGAACCAGGTCTTCTCCACTGTTTTGATTGTTGTTTTGTTTCCGGTGTACAGTAATGAACCCATGTTTCGTCCATAGTAACAAAACGATTCAAAAAATCATCTGCATCGGCTTCAAATAACTCCAAACAGTCGCGTGAAATAGTCAATCGCGTCCTTTTTTGTTCAACTGAAAGCAGTCGCGGAACCCACCTCGCAGACACCTTGTGGAAACCCAACTCGTTGACAACGATGTTTTGAGTTCGTTCATAAGAGATGCCTATAATCTCGGCTATCTCTCTAATTTTTAATCTGCGGTCTCCCATTATTAAATCAAGTACTTTTTTTAATATTTTCGTCAGTAGTTGACGTCGAAGGCCTTCCAGAGCGGAGTTCATCTTTCACACTTTCTCTACCACGCTTAAATTCTGCTATCCATTTTTTGACGGATGAATATGACAGAGCACAATCGCCTTATGTACCGACCATGTCATCATGGATGGCTTTTGATGATAGCCCCTTCTTATGGAGGTACTTAATGACGGCACGCTGCTCGATTTGCTCCATTCGCGGAAATTATGTCCGATTACTTTGTTAATAAATTTATAAAATCACAACTAATTATCGCACACGTTTCGAACTTCACACAATGAACTAGTCTGAACTGAACTAAATAATGTGGGTAGATTTGATTTTTAGAATTGAATGGATCTGTGTTAGGCCGAGTACTTTTCAATCCACCTAGGTATAATGTAGTTATATGACAGCGGTACCTAAATATCTTACTAGACTAATCTAGTGAAATAATTATAATCATAAACAGTTCATGTTATTTGCGGAGTATTGTCATGTGTTGAAGGTTACTAATCACAACTGTTGTGTAATTAATGTAAAAATGAAAAAGATATTCAGGACCAAAGAGATAAATCTGTAGGCAACTTAAAAAGAGCTGCTGAAAAAATTAAAAAATAGTTCTTCAACTAATTTCGCAACATTGACAATGGATCTTCAGTTCCTGTTGTATTGTTGTTCATGTTAATTTTTTGACAGTGGATTTAAGTTGCGGCTGCATTTTACTTTACTTTTGAGCCACCCTAAAGCCGCATACACATTGTAATGGTATAAAATATAATATTGAAAGAATTGAACATTTTTTAATTTAAAAAGTCAAAAATAAATGTCAATGTTATGACTACATTCTTAGTCAATATGCTTATAATTATTTTCCTAAATTAGTCTAGTAAGATGGATATACTACAAGATTGTGCTCATATCATAATTATATTCATGTATACAGCTATATCTATATCATGGCTTCAACCAGCTTACTGCGACATATGCATTATCTTTGCTGAAGCAAACCGTTTGGTTTGAATGTAGTGTAATATGACTGCATTACAAATGGGTTAGCTCAACAAGGGATGGTCCAGTTGCTTGTAATACTAGGATAAATAGCAGTCTAATGCTTTTGTGTTTTATTGGGTGAGTAATGACAGTTAGTCCTTTTTTGCCAGTAATAAAGCATTTACACTTAACTTTCAGGGGTGCCAATGTATATCTGCATTTTGATTTTAAACAAGTATATATTTAGTTGTGTACAAGTTACCAGCCACTTGTCTTGTTTACCATCAGGTAGATTGTGTGCTGTATGTCATTTTTCACCTTTCTGGCAAAGAAGAGAAAAAAGATTTAATATAAAGTTATAGATTTAAACATTTATGCCATGAAAGCTAAGGAGATAAGGGTTCATCTTATGATTTGCAAGCTAACCAAGTTCTATTCTTGCCAGCACCAATAAATTCATTGTTATGTGCTGAATAACTATGTGTTCTGCATTAGTGTAACTCACCGTGAGCAAAAGCTGTGTCTTAGGGATTTAATAAAAACTAGGAAATGTAAAATCTGCTGTGTATTTGGGCAGTGCGGCAGTCTCTGCCTCTCATCCAAATCCTCTCAGTGATGAAGGAGCCTTGTGCCCATTTGTGGGATGTTTATAGGCTGTGTAATTATTTAAAATTAATGAAGAAATAAAGAGATATTATTGTTATTAGTATATATATAAAAATTATATTGGTGCTAATTCTTACGAAAAACAGGTTGATGCAGGTCTTACAAATTTTTATATTTCGAGACTGCTGGAAAATTTCTGTCAAACATTTTCTCTTTTTACATTTTGATTAATGATGGACGTGATTTTCATAACAAAATTAATAACAATATTTTACTTAAAAAACGTTACCTCCACACTTGAATTTTCTCATGCATCATAGAGGCAGTTTACATACAACAAGGAAAAACATTGTATAGGCCATACAAATACTTATTCTGTGCGGGATTTGAACCCGCGGTCGTTAGCGTCGCAACTCAGTGCTAAGCTGCTGCGCCTGTGTGATGTGACAAATTGAAGTGATAAAGTTACAGAGTATGCGTGTGTTTGTTGTTAGGCGGAGGGTGGGGTTGCTGCTGGTGGTGCTACGGCGGTGGGGATGTCCAACGAGGTGGTGGCGCGGCGGCAGGAGCGTGCCACCGCCCTCACGCAGGAGCGCAAGCGCCGCGGCCGCACCGTGCCCGAGGGCCTGCTGCCGCCCGACCAGATACGGGCCTTCCTCACGCTCGCCTCGCATCCCGTAAGTACCATCTCACCATGTGCAGTACGCCACACCACAGACTGCAATCACTACAGCGTAAACCACCACACCATAAATCTACTCCATACACTAGACACTGCCCAATCTGATGTGGGCCTTCCTTCTTCTTTAATTCTAGATCCTTGTAGTTTTATGAAAAGCTTCTTTTTGAAGGTAAGCAGATTGACGATCACAGTAGAGACGTGAGCATCTTTAAAGCTGCTATCCGTCACTAGTCTAGAAATTTTACAGCTCACTTAAACAATATGGTTTTACCACCCCGTATTGGCATCCATAAGATTTTTCTGGTATTTCCTTTAATTATCTCTATCATATCTTTAATTATATAGAACTGGCCAGAAGGGGATCGGCCCTAGTAACTATAGGTTCGGAACCAATAATACCAATCCCCTTTGGCTACGTTCGTTCACTGGTACGTAGATACTTCAATAATTTACACGCTCAGCTTTGGAAAATTTTTGTAGACTGTAGACAAGCTAGGGAGGCCCTACCTGAAATAAACAGTTGTCTTACCAAGGTTCTAATGAGACTGAACAAGCCACAGATCAGGATAGTAACAAGTGCTATCACAGGACATGGCTCTTTTAACAAACATTTGTTCACCATAGGTGTTACTGACAGCCCCCTGTGCAGGGCATGCATGGGAGAGGAAGAAACGGCGGCTCACGTGTTGCTGACATGTCCAGAAGTCGCTTCATAGGGTAAACATCTCGGCACGCCGGGATCGCTCCCCCGAAGTTGCTTGCAACATCAAGGGACTGCTGAGCTTCTTCGGGGAGATATCATGGCTCGAATAAGCATATTATTCCTGCCCACACGCAAAATACGCGCTTAGACGTGGAGTTGCGGAAAACAGCCCGTCGTAAACTAAACTAAACAATATGGTTTTACCACCCCGTATCGGCATCCATAAGATTTTTCTGGTATTTCCTTTAATTATCTCTATCATATCTTTATTTATATAAGGAGAGGTATTCTCTAATGCTGCTACCACGGCATGAAATAGCTTGGTTTAAGCATATTCTGACAGACATGAAATTTTATATATATAGATCATTAGTGTTTTTGTTTTTATCATTATTTAATATGTGGTAGAGCAATGTTGCTGGTATATTATGTTTATAGCACAAATAGGTTGGCTCAACAGGGGTAGGACCACACTCATAATATATCAGCCTAAAATGGCAACTTAATGCTTCCCTGTTTTGTATGATGAGTGCAGAAAACTGGAGACCCATTATACCGGAAATAAAGCATTCTATCTTAGTCCTAAAGGGTGGCAACACATCTGCATTTTAATTATTTATCAAGGATTGATGTAGATGTCTGTAAGCCACTGTATCTACTTACCACATGTACTGTGTGCTTGTTTGTAACCCTTATTCTATAAAAAAATTGTTTCCTAAAGTTCTTCAAGGCATATCTATCTAAGGTTTTTGTTGACTTGTGCAGGGATTACATTCGGCCAGTGTGCCTGGCATCCTAGCGCTGGACATCAACCCTTCAGACCAGAGTCGGCTGTTGACGGGTGGCAACGACCGCAACGCCACCGTCTTCAACAAGGACACTGAGCAGGTGGTCGCCATCCTGAAGGGACACACCAAGAAAGTGACGCGCGTCATCTACCACCCGGACGAGGACACGGTCATCACCGCCTCGCCAGACCACACTATACGCGTCTGGAACGTGCCCTCGTATGTGTTCAAAGTAGCATTGTAACAGTTAAATTAATTTTATAGTAATAATGTCTTCCAGTCTGATGACTAAGTAGTGGCGGTGTATGAATATCCACTACCTCATATGATCTCGCGGGTGTCGTAAGAGGCGACAAACAAATCAGGAGATGGGCAGAAGTCTCTTCCTGATAACAACTAAAAATAAAAATTTGCGGTTGCCGTCTCACTTGCCGAGAGTGCAACTAGGGCAAACCCTCCCCCTATGAGGCTACCTACGGGGGAGGCCCATGTTCAGCAGTGCACCTGTAATGCTAATAGTAATGTCCTCTAGACCAAATTTCGGTTGCGGTTGCCAGTCTCAAGCTAGAGACTAGCCATCTGTGTGGGACAGGATTATAGTGAGCGAGTGTTTGAGCAACTGTGAGAATGTGTGTTTGAGAACTGTGGGGTGGAGTGTTTGAGTGGAGTTTGGCGAGTGTTTGAGCAACTGTAGGTGCACTCATAGTACACATATATAGTATACATAGTCAATGAGACGGTCATCAGACACGACCGAAAAGGTAATGGACAACACCAACAACTTTACATGCTTTCCGAGGTCCAAGGTTGAAAGACTGCTAACTTCCTGACTGTGCTACTGCTGAAAATTTACTGAAAAAAATCTAATAATTGATTTTGACTTACGCGGGCATATAGGGGACATTAGAATAGAATAGTATCATTTTTATTCAATATTGATTACATGTAATTCTTATTGAAAGTAATTTTTTAATTTTACCACTGGTTCGGAAATAAACCTCTGTCCTGGGAAGAACCAGCAAGAAACCTAGCGGGATTCTTTTTTTTAAAGCATAAGCTACAATATAATATTTGTACAATGTGGCTTTAGTAATATAATGACCCTTACTAAACAATTTTTTCTTAATAAATATTTTAAACTCGTTGGTTGATAATAGATAAGACCTGCACATTTTCTGGGACTTTGTTGTAAAAGCGTTGACATTTCCTCATGATAGAATTACTTACTCTTTGGAGTTGAGTAACTGGTATAACCAACTTGTGCTTGTTCCCAGTATTTACAGAATGTACATCACTATATTTTATAAAACCATTTTTGTGTCAATACATTTTTTCCTAAATATGATGAGAGGCGACAGTTAATATATTTGTTTCTTTAAATTTTTCTCTAAGGGATTCCTTCGGACCTAGGTTATAAATTACTCTTATGGCTCAGTTTTACTTTATGATTAGCAATCGCGATTAAGATCACTAGACCAACGAAGTAGTCGATTTTACAGTAGCATAGGCTTATTTATAACATCGCCTGCCGGTACGCGGACTGCACGTACCGGCAGGCGAATTGTAGGGCGGCCCCCACTAGATAGAGTGACAACCTGGTACGACAAGCTGTAATCATGATAATGATAATGACGATAGGCTTATGTTTAGTTGTGAACTTTTTTTTTATTATATGCGAGCAGCTATGCAGGTCTAGGGAAAGAGACCAGTATCACTGCGACCTATAAGATCTATTGTGATCGCTGCTATGGCTATAGTTCACGGCTAAGCCCTATGTCTTCAATGAATAGAAGGAGTTGCTTAGCCGTGAGCAATTTCACTTCTTCTGGGCGAAGTAGATAGTTTCCCAGATGAGTGTTACGTTTGTGCATTAAGGGTCAGCAATCAGTTAGGATGTGTAGAGGCGTTTCACCCGTTATGGAACAGAACCGACACATCCTTGAGTTGCTTAGTCCCAGGATGGACATGTGCTTTTTAAGACAACAGTGTCCAGTTAGGGCTCTTGCCAGAATGCGCAATTTATTTTTACTTAATCCCAGGGCTTCTGAAACGAATTTACGATCAAAAGCCCGGATTAAGGTTTTAGAATGTTTTAAGCCTGGTGTGTCAGACCAGATCTTAAGTGATTTATTGTGATAAAGAGTTTCAAGGGTCAATCGGGCTAGGCTTCTTGAGATTCCACAAAATGGCTCAGGTCCAAATTGTGTGCACTTTGAGCCCTCCCGTGCAAGTTTGTCGGCAAATTCGTTGCCTACAATACCCTCGTGACCCGGAACCCATCTTAAAACGACCCTGTTGTTACATCCCAGGGCGTTTAAACGGTTCACGCAGTCTCCAACTAGCTTTGAGTTCACTAAGTTTGATCTCAGTGCTAGCAGTGCTGCTTGACTATCGGAGTTAATGTAAATTTTTTGGTTGACGTAGTGTTTTTGCAGATTGATTTCCGCACACCGAATTATGGCGAAAATTTCTGCCTGGAAGATAGAGATGTATCTACCCAAATTCATCATCATCATCATCATCATCATTACAGCCCTTCACAAGTCCACTGCTGAACATAGGCCTCCCCCAAGTAATGCCACGAAGAACGGTCCTGAGCCACCTGCATCCATCGACTTCCTGCATATCTTACCAGGTCGTCACTTCATCTAGTGGGGGGTCGCCCTACACTACGTCTACCGGTACGAGGCTGCCACTCGAGAACCTTTCTTCCCCATCGGTTATCGGTTCTTCGAGCTATATGGCCGGCCCATTGCCACTTCAGCTTACTAATCCGTTGGGCTATGTCGGTCACTCTGGTTTTACTGCGGATATCCTCATTTCTAAGTCTATCACGCAGAGAAACTCCGAGCATAGCCCTCTCCATAGCTCGCTGAGCGACCTTGAGCGTCCTCATACGGCCAGCAGTGAAGGACCACGTCTCAGATCCGTAAGTCGTCACTGGCAACACGCACTGGTTGTACAATCTAGTTTTTAGAGATTGAGGTATACCTGACGAGAAGATGCGTCGTAATTTCCCGAACGCTGCCCAGCCGAGTTGAATCCGTCGATTGACCTCTCGGTCGAAGTTGGACTTACCTAGTCGGACTATTTGTCCCAGGTAAACGTACTCGTCAACAACTTCGAGCATAGTGCTCCCAACAACTACCGGCATAGGTGTGACATGGACATTAAACATGATCTTTGTTTTGTCCATGTTCATCTTAAGACCTATCCGTTGGGAGGCAATATTGAGGTCATTGAGCATAGTGTTTAAGTCCTCCAGCGATTCTGCCATAAGGACTATATCGTCGGCAAATCGAAGGTGAGTGATGTACCCGCCATTGATGTTAATACCGTATCAGTAGCTTGAAAACGTCTTCCAATGCAGCGGTGAAGAGTTTCAGGGATATAACGTCACCTTGTCTTACACCTCTTTGCAGTTGGATAGGTTTCGAGCTCTGGTTCTGTACTCGGATAGCCATCGTAGCCCTACTGTATAAACACTTCAACACTTCGATATACCGACAGTCAACTTGGCACCGCTGAAGGGACTGTAGCACCGCCCAAATTTTGACGAAATCAAAGGCTTTCTCATAGTCCACATACGCCAGGCAAGGTGGCAGATTGTACTCTTCAGTCTTCTATACAATCTGACGCAGGGTATGTATGTGGTCTATGGTACTGAAGCCTTTTCGGAAACCGGCTTGTTCGGGAGGCTGGAAGTCGTCGAGTCTGCGTGCGAGACGATTCGTAATGACTCTCGAAAACAGCACGTACACGCGGCTCAGAAGGGAAATCGGTCTGTAGTTCTTCAAGAGAGCGTTGTCGCCTTTCTTAAAGAACAAGACCACCGCACTTCTGCTCCACGCCTCTGGAGTAGTGCCACCATGGAGGACGGAATTGAAGAGCTTCTGAAGGACTTCAAGTACCGGTGTTCCACCCGCTTTCAGAAGCTCCGTTGTAATTCCATCCTCCTCTAGGGCCCTGCCATTTTTAAGGTGCTGGAGAGCCATTCTAATCTCGCTTCGACTGACGTCCGGGATATCATCGGAATAGTGTCTGGTAAGACTTGCTCTTGGATCGTTACTCACACTTGCGTGTGGCTCCAACGATGATGTGTACAGCTGCCCATACTTCAATTCAGGTGTCCCGGAAACGATGCTGCCACACTCAGTCTTCAGCTTTGACAGTTGGCTCTTACTGGCAGACAGATCTCTGGCAAGGACTTTGGAGCCCTGGTTCCGCTCGATCGCTTCGTTAATACGAGCAGTATTAGTTGCGTAAGTCTCGCCGCATGCATTTGGAGATCTGTCTGTTCAGTTGCCTGTATGCTGTCAAATCTGTTGACGATTGCAGCCTCATCTCCCGTCTAACAGCCATGAAATTAAGAGTGTGATCGGAGAGTTTTTGTGTTCTTCTGCGGCGGGTCTTACAGAACTTAACGTGACAAAATACAAAATTAATTTCGATTGACTTTAGCATCTACTACTACCCTAACAAAACAATGTTCCATCATCGTCATACATCACACAGTCCTTCACAAGTCTGTTGCTGGCCATAGGACTACCCAAAGGAATACTACAAAAATTGTCCCAAACCACCAGTATCTACCAACTTCCTGCATGTAATTCTAATTAATGATTAATAATATTATTTGTTTCAGGTCTCAGACGTCAGTGATACTCCGCTCTCACGACGGCCCTGTCACAGGCCTGTCGCTCCACCCAACTGGAGACTACGTTCTCTCCACATCCACCGATCAACATTGGGCCTTCTCAGACATCCGCACGGGTGCACTGCTCACTAAAGTGAGCGACTCCTCTGGTGTCAGTCTGACAACAGCCCAGTTCCATCCCGACGGGCTTATTTTCGGAACGGGCACAGAAAACTCGCAGGTCAAGATCTGGGATTTGAAAGAACAGAGCAATGTCGCAAACTTTCCTGGACACGTGGGCCCCGTCACGTCGATATCGTTCTCTGAGAACGGTTACTACCTTGCTACAGCTGCTGAGGATGCTTGTGTAAAACTGTGGGATTTGCGTAAGCTGAAAAACTTCAAGACCATTCAGTTGGAAGAAGGATATGTTATTAAAGAGTTGTGCTTTGATCAGAGTGGTACATATCTGGCTATAGCTGGTACAGATGTTAGGGTTTATCTGTGTAGGCAGTGGCAGGAGTTGAAGGTGTTCAACGATCACACCGCTTCAGCAACAGGAGTCCGCTTTGGCAAAAACGCTCAGTACATAGCTTCCACGAGTATGGACCGCACGCTCAAACTGTACGGTTTAGAGTAAGCATAACTCTTGTGACTTTGTAACCATGATTTGGTTTAATTGTATTGTATGATTAACAATAGGACAGGTTAGATAAATAGAAATACTATGACATTAAGGATAACTATGTGACAAATAATGTGAAAAGCATCATATTTCAAAGTACTGGTTGACTATTCCTAGGCAAACTAGGATGTAAATGGTGAATGGAAACTCAGTAAAAGCTTATGGCATAGATAAACTTTTATTCATATGTGATCATAATCTACGGCATTTCATCAATCTATCCATCTATTACAGCCTATAAAAGTCCACTGCTGGACATAGGCCTCCAGCGTAGATAGCCTTATGAGGGTATTTTGTCATAGTTGCCACGAGGGGTTTGGCAACCGCAATTAATTATTTTGAGTTGTTATCTGCCAATTTCCCCGTTTCATTTTTACGGCATTTATTAACTCTTTAATTAGTCATGGGCTTCAATTATTTTCATCATACTAAACAAATACTCTCCAGGATAATAACTTCTATTTGCCCTAACAACAAACCATGTTATGTTCCAGACAGTGAAATAAAATTATCAAGTATAAATAATTGCATAAATTCCTCTTTAGTTTAAGTAGTAAGTATTTTACAGCTTTATGGGGGTTGTTTTAGTATCCTGTGGCATGAGGAGGGAGGTGAGGAAGTAGTAGGAGGGGTGATGCTTTCCTTAAATACATATATTTCTTCTACATTTTTGAAAATTAAATATTAAAAACAAATTTTAATTTTCGTTTGAGTTATACTTTAAAAACGAAATTAGTTCCATTGATAAGGGGTTGAGGAAGCGGGTGTAACCCCCACCGATTTCTCCCTAACCTAGTTGATATTAAGAATGTAGGACATTAAAAAATGTTTTAAAATTGTTCTGATGCATTTTACCACGTTATTGTTAACTTTCTTATGTGTAAGTCCCCGTTCGTATGTAAATTAGTAATTGATTTTAGACGTAACTTCTCGAAGAGTTAGAGATGTGAAGTTTTGAACATAGCTCAGTATCGGATGCCAATTTAACAATATGAAAAAAAGAACTTGGTATATTAAAAACATATAATACATAATTTTTTTAAATTCACTTGTTTTTTTAAAAGGGGTAAGGGAGCGTGTACCCTGTTGCGGCGGTGCAAGAATATCCACTACAAAATATCATCCCGTGGATGTCGTAAGTGTAGACAGAGGGTAACAAATCTGATGGACAGCAGTGTGTTCCTAGTAACAACTAAAAATAAAGCACTATGGTTGCCAACTCGTTTGTCAAGTGTGGCAACCCTGGCAGTGCATGAGGGAGGCCTGGGTTCAGCAGCGGTCTATAATAGGCTGTAACGGCAAATGAGCAAGCGGCTCACTTGATGGTGACTACCATCGCCTATAAACATCTACAACACCAAGAGAAAAAAGCGGTCTAGGTGTGACCCGAAAGGTCCACACAACTAACTTCCCAGTGGAAAGAATAAAAAATATGTTTTAATAACAATTTTTCATTCGGCACAAAAAACAACTTGACCGATTTTGCTCAAAATGTAATGAGGACTAAGTTACATAATTATGCGTTAGATTAAACTGGTCCCATGTCAATATCAATTATTGTTCTCGAGATACATACATACATAAACACTCACGCCTGTCACCCATAGGGGTAGGCAGAGACTACGGACTTCCATTTGGCACGATCCTGACATACCTCTTTTGCCTCCTTTACATCCATATATCTACGCATACATGCTCGTCGGTTAAGGATACTTACTTCTTCTCGAGATACATGAGGCGAAAATTGAATCCGAACAATATATACATACATACATGTGCACACACGGAAATCCTCTTAAAAACCATACTATTCCGACTCTAAAAACCTTGAAACGTGGAGATATGTTAAAATTTTTAATTGCAAAATTGGACCCCTTGCCACTGGGAAGTTAACAATATTGAAGCGAAACGCTCGCGCGTTATATGCTCACCGAACCTAATACCTAAGTACATTTAGCATAACGTATTTTAATAGTTTGCATTATAAGTACAACACTTACTTGAACAAAAACTTATTCATCCATTCATTCATTATAGCATGTACTTGTAGGATACTAAAGCCAACCCGCGTTATAGATTATTTTATTATCTAAAAATGTAGTAAAACTTTATGAATTTGAAATTTCAACATTGTAACTAGCCATATAAAAGCATAAATCACTTAATTCCTTAATTTTGTTCAGTTAATTCATTTTTAATTTACTTTAGAAATAAAGCGAGTGAAAACAATAAAAATTTGTGTCTATTTCTTTACCAAGAAATTAGGAAAGAACATCATAATGATTTCCCACAATTATCAGCACATAATTTATTTTAATAATTTACATTAAACACTTGAATTTTAAATATATACAAATAGATTACAGAAGTATTAACATATTATATCAAACTACCGCACTAAAAAAATATTGTGAAGCATTACACTATTATTATGCTACAAGCTTTAATCAATGAGGGCGGCTGTCCACGGCTTTTCTGCCACCAGGGCGTCGCCACTTTGGAACGAGGTGAAATATTTGACAGATTTCACAGAGAAGTTATAGGCTGTTAGTTGTAATAATCAGTTATATTAATTATATTAGAAATGAATAAACCAAATTCGATATAATTAAAGTAGAAAAATTAAAAAGCAAACCACTGAGGAAGTGTTTTTTGTATAAATTAAGTACTTTAGAAAATGATGCGCTTATTTAAAACTAACTTCTCAATTTCTCTAACAAAAAACTTCACCTCAATCAGCTAGCGACATCTGTTGAGCGGAAGATTAGCCCTCACTGTAAAATGTTTCGCGCCATTTTTACATTTAAAATATTTGAATGCATAAAATATCCACGTGAAATATCACAAAATAAACAGTACACAATTGAATTAAAAAAAATAATTTGACTCACTAACTATAAATTGAAAATATAGATGAAATTCAATATATATAGTATATTAAAATAAACCTGATTTGTAGAATCAGGCGTTACTTTGCGGAAATCCATTATATTAAAGATTTTAAAAATCAATTAGCTAAGAGCCTCGTAATCGTGATCATGTGTCGTTCAGAGGCGAAATACGGGTCGTAATATCGACAGTGGTGTGTTTTTCCTAGTAAAGTGGTGCTGGGAATAGTGGTCTTAGGATTAGTGGTGACAGGGGTTGTGTGCACGCAATGAGGGCATCTATGAATTTTTATGCCACCAGGGCGCCACTGGAAAAGATATGAATTATTTGACAGATTTCATAGCGGGGGAAATTAATTTATTAGAAAAGTGTAGAAATTAATGTTCTTTTGTGAAATATTACTTATGTTTTAAATGAATTAGACTAGAAACATAAATCTAAAAGTAGAAAAATTTGAAAACAACAGCACTGATGCATTGTTTTGTGTTTACACATACACTAGAAAGCGTAAAGTATTTATTCAAAACGCAACTTTTCAATGACGATGAAACTGTGTGCACCATTTGCCTCATACGTAAATTCATCTCGGTCCCAATCGGCGACAACTGGTGAGCGTAATGTAACCCTCATTACGGGAAGGCGGTTGGTGGAGGTGGAGAGAGGTGTTCACACTAGGTAACACACATCATTTTATTTTATTACGCGAATTTTAGCTATTTAACTTCTAACATCTTTACTAAAATAAATCTGTTTACATTTTAAACATATGAAGATAAAAGAAAACATACACATATTTTACAAGCAGCTAATTGTCTTTATCTGTTGCATGAAAAGAGTCAAAAACACGCGCCTCTTATTCATCAATATACTCTGGAGATCTATCACAGTATGGACTACACTTTATACATAGATGCTGACAAAATGCAATGGTTTTATTCTTATATATAACACCGTAACCACACAATCCAGTTCTGGATGTAAAATAATACCCTAATAATTCAGATCAACAAAGAAGGGACGTAGTGACGCCGAAACCATGCTAAATTTTTCGACACTTACACACGCACACATCTTTAACAGCCTATAACAGTCCCTGGCTGCATGTACACATGCATCTTTGTTGTTATTGACTAACCATGTTGCTTTTAGGTGCATAATGTGTGCGTAAGTGTTCTTAAGAGTTTTGTCGGGAAGTTGACCGGCGGCAAATTGCTGCTCCTATGTTATTGTATAAATAATGGTTTGAAGTGGATTTTGATATGTAAAAGTGGTGCAATCTCGTGTATTAAATGTATACGCACGTGAACGTATTAGTTTAAACGGTGAAACAAATGCTATGATGATGTGAACCTCAAGATAATATCTGCTTAAGCGCATTCAGATACTATAGCTATCCAGTGTCTGCTGGCTCAAACTGCCGACAATATCTCCCAAAAACTTGCTATGTGATGTATCAACATATCGTGAAGAGTATACTATGAATGATAACATTATTTTGGCTTGGTTTCGCCGTTACTTGAAATATATTGCGTCTACCTTTCTTTGTTGGTCTAAGCTTCATAATTAAAATTTTGACATATACCAGCTATTTTATTAAAAAGAATTAAGGCCACTGACGATTGGGCACTTTTATTTAGTTTAGACAAAGAGTGGTGTTCACAATTCAAATTGCATTAGGAATCAGACAATCAAGTGAGGCGATGACGCGTGCGTCTTCGAAACAAGACTGTAGGCGCTCGGTGGAACGCCCTGCGGTCATGCGAAGATCAACCATAACACGAACAGTATGGCGACCCAGAGGAAAATCTTCGAGAGGAACTGTTCTTCTTCGTACTGCGCTGTGCCGTGTGGTGCTGAAGTAATTAAAAAAAGGATATAACGTGGTAAAACCATGCTGCAGCTATATTATGGTTGTAGCGCAAATTGGTCGTCTCGAAGACGACGCTCTCACAAAATACCATCGTGAAATAACAGCTTAATGTTGCTATGTTTCGTATGGTGAGTGTTGGGAACCGGAGACCTTTCTTACTGGAAACGAGACATACTATCTTAGTCCTCAGGGATGA